CATCAATTACTGTTTGATAAATATTATCAGAATGCAAATGTTAGCTTTTCAAAAGCTCAATCAGGGTAAATATTTGTTCAATCTTTCATCCAACTATTGATATGATGCAAACAAAAAAATTGTGAAAAATTAGAGATGTATAATTTCAGAAATTCAATTCATTTTTATGCAGTTAATATGTTAATTAATATCAAAATAAGCTTATCTCATTTCTGAAAAAGTATAGATTAGCAAAATAATAACTGGAAAAGGCAAATGATTAAGAAACTTTTTGAAATTTAAGCAGTTTAAAAATTATTTAATGCACTGTATCGATCTTTCCGTTTTTTCTATTTTCATATAATTTCAAACTTTTAAAACTGGTCGAAATTTTTTGGCTTTTAAATGCATGGTGAATAAAGCTAAAGCATTTCGATATCATAGCTAAAAAGGAGAAAATTTTGATGAAATGAATAATTGAAATTGAAATTGAAATAATATTATGCGATGACATTCTTGCACTGTTCACTTTTGAAATGCACTTCAATGGCTTACTAAATATGCTTATTGATATTTCCTTGAAAATGTTAGGACCTCAAATCAAATAAATACAATTATTACCATCAATATATAATTTATCATATATTTGAGTTTTACCGTCCTTTTTTTCCGATTTGAGCTTTAAATAAATAAACTTTTAGCATATTGAAACTTATTTTATACATACAAATTTATTTGTAAATTATTGAAATGGTGTAAAAATCTGAAAAAAAAAAAATTTGCATATGTATAGATTGAGCGATTTTACGCGACGTTTATCCGGGTCACGTTCATCAATGATGGATGGAGCAGTGATTAAATCTCAATTGGTTGAACAGCTTAACCGTAAAAAAAATCCTACCAGTAAAACTGCTATTCGATCCATTCAATCACGTGTACCACCCAAACCATTAATTATACATACCGGCAATGGGCCATATTCAGGTTTGAAGTAATTTCTATTTTTTTATTTCGATTATTTAAGTATTAAATTCAATAAATTAAAGTCTATTTCAATTTAGCACTGAAAAGTTGTTCGTTAATTTATGCAATTCATTTTTTGATTCATAAATCGTATTCTAAAAAATATAATTTACAAGTTGTGACTCAGTTATCAATGGAAAATTGTAGTAAATGATTGCAATTTTTAGGTCCGACATTCAACTGTAAAGTACTAACACCTAAAAATGATGGTCGGCCCTCATCAATCACTGATAAAACATGCCTTTTGGAACAGCCTGGCATTTCGGCTGATGGTAGATGCCGCTGTACATATGTAGTTAGTTTATACATAATTAAAATTGAAATAAACAATGCCCTAAAAACAATTGATGGAAATTTTATTTCAGCCAGGAAAAATAATTAATGCAAATTTTCTGTGAATTTCAAAAAAAAAAAAAATTTAATTGAATTTACAGGTATCGGATCGTGACAGTAATGGTTGCGCATTGGGATTTTTGTTTACTTGTTTACCGAAATAAATTAAAAAGAAGCCTATTTATAATAGGCAGGTGAACAAAAGAAAAGGTATAACGTCAATATATTGAAATGATTTGAGAATAATTAATTAGATCGTGGCAATAATAGTGACGATAAATTCCGCTTTCTGCACGGTATTGTAGTCAGATTTTTTTTAAGATGCATTGTTTTGGCTTAATTTAAAGTCTCGAATTCTTTTCTATCCAACAAAATAAGTGACCTGAAAACTTTTGATATCTGAACCAGACTGAAGCCATTATGAATGTATTGAATTTGCATAAGAAAAAAAAAAAAGGATTTGGAAATTGCACCATTTTATTAAAAAATCATTATCAGTGTGATATTTTCGAATATATGATGCCATAATTCGCTTTAAAAATTATATTTTCTTTTCGCTTTAAAGAAAATTATATTTTGTTAAATTTTATTGAATGATAAGTTGTTCTTGAAAAGAGCAACATTTTTATGAGATGCTTTTAGTCTTTTAATCCGCTAAATTATACTTTCGCTATACGAATAAGAAACTTTGAGTTAGTGCTTCCGCAATTACTCAAAATTAAAAATGTAAATTTTCCTAAACAGTAGTAAGTATGAAATTCTACTGTACCGGATTCTACGTCATATGAAAATATTAATGCTTCTAACAACATAAATTATACTTGTTTAGAAATAGAAATTAAGAAAAAATTCAAAATAAATTTAACAAAGAAATTTATGATATGTTAATGATAGCAAATTGTCAATAAATTTTTGATAATCATCGAGAAGAGAAGTACGTATGCATTAAATGAAATTCCGGAAGAAAAATTTTCCTCCTCTTCAATTTCATTCATAATTTTATAGTATGAACAGAAGTTGACCAATGTTGTATAACAGTTAATTGAAATCATCCAAACAATAAAATACTTTGATGTTTGGAAGCTAATAGAAAGATGAATATCTCTATGATTTTCTCACTGATCTGCTTAATTTTTTAAAGCAAAATACGCAATTTCTCAACTTTCTCGAAGATTTTAAACGTTTATTTCAGTTTTAAATTGTTTCCGATAATGTCCAAATAGTGTATAAGTGAACAATGAAGTTGATATAAATCATTGACAGATAATGAAGTGTCACCACTAATAATCATGAAATAGCTTTCCATAAAGAAATTCAGAAACTCGACCGGAAGACGTGAAGAAGTTTTCAGTATCCTTCCAGTAATACCACCCTTTTCATCGCATTTAAAAATTTGTTTCCATTTGTAAAAGTTTTTTGATGAAACTT